TGAAGAAAGTGCTGTGTGTGAATGATGGTATAAGGAGTCCACTTTATGGTTTCTGGATGTTATGAAATGATCCGTACTTCTGTGGAATTGTTAGTTTAGATTGTGTTGCAGTATCTGCAGGGGTGAAAGCTGTCACCAGAGTTAACATGGGTGCCTGCACATCCATTGTCTGAGTGTTTTTTTTAAGCTAAGAAGGTCCTTTTCGGAATGCCCCTCTGTGATCTGCCCTTTATAATAAGGTAATGAGGACTGGAGGTACTTTCCTCCAGAGACTTTTGTTGATCTTTCTGTTAGCCACACGGGTCTTTGTAGAAGAAGCACTGCAAACACACTCTGCTAACTTCTTCAAAGTCCTGTGTGACTGAAGTTGATGAGGGCTTTGCCATTAACCTCAGTGGATAATCAGACCCATAATCAGACCCATTGTGAACTGCCCCTGTCATGTGCTCTGCTCCTGACGATCAGGGGAATGTGGGACCTGAGTTTGGATCTCTTTAGTGGCATTACACTGTACGGCTGGTCGGCTCTGAAGGCTTTCTAAATAGAACTAGATTCAAGCAAAGCTTAAATGACTATCTACTGAGCTATTTATTGGTTTCATCAGCATAGCAAACTGTCTTATGTCTCCTAAAGAAGTACTTAGAGATTTCTGTGGCTGATTAATTGCAACAGTTTGCTAGATAAGAATAAAGACAAATGATTATTTAAACCTGCTTATGTACCATGACTTTTTCTTCCTTGATTGTGGTAGAATGCCAGCTGATGAAGACAGAACGACCTAAACCAAACACATTCATCATTAGATGCCTCCAGTGGACTACAGTAATTGAAAGAACATTTCATGTGGAGACTCCAGAGGAGCGGTATGTTTCATTCATATTTAATACATAAACTACTTGCAAAAGCAGATGTGAATGTTCAGCGCTATTAGTGCAGTTCTTGCAAAAGCTCGGATTTCTCAGGTGACATAGGTCTAGACTCTAATAGGTTTACGTTTTCAAAAGCACAAATGCTAATGGACGTCACAATTTTGGGGTGGTCCAACCTGAGAGGCCTTCGGCTTGATTTTTCAGAGGGTGGGTGCTCAGCATTTTCTGAAAACCAGGCCCCATACTAGTTGTTGATTTCCGGGCTCTCATCACATAAGAAATAAAGGTTCTCCCACCTTGAGATTACTGGGGAGAGGTCAGCACAAAGCAAAACAAAGACCCCAGCAGAGTTGAGCGGTCTCAGCCTACTGACCCTTTTTGAGGACACCTTTTTGAGGAACAAGTTAATTGTATTGCTGCCACCTGCTAATGGGTTATGTAAATAAGATGATAAAAGTGATGACAGAGAAGTACTATGCTGCTGCAGGAGACTTGTATTTCAGCTGTTGAAGGAAACAGGGCTAAAGAATGTATCCTGTACTCTGACTTGTGGAGAATTGATCTCTTACCTCCTGAGAACAGAATCCCAGCGTAGCTATTTACAGCAACTGGCTGTTTAAATATTTAAATTGCAGTTCAGCTGTTGAATTTAGATTATTCTGGTATCATTGTGGGGTATTTAAAATCCCAGTCCTCCCTATGTATGACACAGGCACAATATTTGTCTGTAAGCTCCGCACATTTTTACCTGGTTCTCTTCGCTTATTTTCTACTTAGTCTTTCATTCGTTGATTCGAGTTGCTGTCATATTTGTAGCTTATGATTCTGTTATGATGACATGGGGAGGATGAAAACAAACTAAAGCAAAGAAAAGTAAATTAGGTGTTTTCTTTTATTGCTTTGTAGCAAATGGCCCCCAAAGTGACTGAGACACCTTCATTTCAGGGAGATTGCATTTCAGTCTTATTTTTGTCCCTCCCAACCAATTAGGCTGCATCCAGGGTAGATAAAAATCGGATTTTTTTTTATTTAAATTGGATTTTTTTGATAAAATGCTTTTTGAGGAAAAAAATCTATCTAAAGATAGATACATTATAGCTCAAAGATATCTCATAATGGAATAGGGAGTATAAATTCTAATTCTATAGTATTAGACAATATATTCATGTAATGTTTAAGAAAAGTTTTGTAAATGAGTTCCAATGGTTCATGGATTAGGGACCCAATCTTATAGGGTTCCAGGGGCTTCTGTATAGATTATTTAGGTTAATCTTTCTATCTACCCAGTGGGACTCAGTGCTCAGTCTAGAAGATACCATCAGAGATGCTTAGTTTTGCAGTTCTCAAACTGTGGATTTGTGTCTCCAGAGGTAACACGCTTGTTAACAGCAAAAATGTTTTTAAATAAATAAATAAATAAATACTATATAGAGGTGAGAAATAACAGACATCAACTATATTGTCCCTCTGCAAATTTGTGTAGACAGAGTCAATCCCTTACCTCAATCTAAAAGTGCAAAGTTTCCAAAAGTTCAATGAGTAGAAGATTGTTGGGGGCTGAATAGATCTGGACAAGGAGAAGAAGTCTGGAGATAAATGTGAGAAGTGAGGGACATATGCTTGTTTTGTTAAAATATTATATGTTTGCTGTTGAAGAAAAAAATCCAGAATACTTAACGTTGTTTTAGTTAAATAAAACAATTTAAATGTCTGTCTTCTGATGTTCTCCTCCTAATACAGCATGACAAGAAAATCCTCCAAATATTAATGATTAACCTGTTGAATTGGAGATCGTTCGCCTCCCAATGACTTCATAAATATCTGCTTCAGTTACCTTTGGTAAATGAAATAACCAAACAATCATTCATTTTCTGATATAGCTGTAAAACTAATCTGAAAAGTTTTCAAAATAAATGAAATAAAATGTATAGTGTGTACCTTCTAAAAATGAAACCTACATCTATTTCTGAGTTGTGAAGAATATGTATTAAGGTTATAACAACCAACAAGAATGCACTTTTATGTAGAAAACCATGATTAAATCGAGTCTTCCTGACTAGTGATTTAAATCAATTTGATTTAAATCAAATCCACCCTGGCTGCATCACCGCCCGGGACTGCTCATACTAGTCATCTCTGCAACATACGTTTGGGAGATAGTCTACACTTGCGTTGGCGTGTATTATACACTCACTGCACGCCCAGCTAGCATGGGTATAAATAGCAGTGTAGACGGCTTAGGTGAATAGAGTAGAGTGCCCTACACACCTGAACCCCAAGGTGTATACTGTATGATGCTCTGCATGCCCAAGCAGTGCTTCCCATCAACACTGCCATTTTTAACAGTGTAGCATCCTGCTGTTGGAGCCTTTTCCTGCTGCAGTGCCTGGGGAAAGGCTCCGTCAGCAGGGATCTGCTGGAACCTTTCCCCACTCCCAGAGCCTTTCGTTGCCTCATGTAACTATACACTGCAGTGAGTGTGGACACAGCCTGCCTTTCACTGTGGCTTCTAGCTACACGTAGCCTACATGCCTCCGCCAGTGTAGACAGGATCTAAGGGTGAAATCCTGGCCCCAGTGAAGTCAATGGCATTTCACCCACAATCAATAAAAGAGAGCTAAAATTAGACTTAAAAGGAGATGTAGCTTGAACATCCTTTTATCCTTTAAACCCAAAAGCTGCTTTTAAGAGGGAAATGGAGAAATGTGAACACAAATGGAGGAAGGATGTTTTCTTTGTAATGGTTATTTTTAATGTTTAGCGGTGGGGCATAAAGACAGGCATTCCTGATGTTGAAGAAAAATCTGTGCCTTTGTTCAGAAACTGTTATTCCGTGTGCAAACGTGACCTGCTTTTCCACCTCTTGGCATCTCAAGGGCCTCACCTCAAGACTCCAGTGTCTGAGGATCTTCTGAGAAAGGGTTGATCGTGCAAGTTAAGGTTGCCTGGACAAAATCCACAGATTTTGCTAACTTCACTCCACATCTCTTTGAGGACAGGCAGATATTCTCCAGACAGAGAATACTAAATTGGACATAATTTGCCTAAAGAAACTAGATAGGGCAACTGTATTATTCAGACAGTGAAAAATTCAAGGTACTGCAGGGCGAGAGTGAGGGGTGTACAAGGTATTGCCAGTGTAGCTGCTATAGTTTTAATTAGAATTTTATGCCAGATACTCTGTCTTGCCTGGACCTTGTATTTGTTTTTTCCTATTTTATTTTTCAAATTGAAGTTCAGCTGTTTTGAAAGATGTACTTCTAAAGCTAATTTTTTCAATGGCCCTTCAAAAATGCACCTGGGAAACATATCTCCCCAAATTCTGTGTGTCTGCCTGTAAACTACTTACTGTAGTGTGTTCACGCTAGTGCATATTTGCAGGTGCAGTTGTGGAGGCGTATTTGAAAAATGTGACCCTTGGTATGTTACGATGAAGTGGACACAGGAGTATCTGCATTTTAAATATTTTTAACACTTGCTTCTTATTAAGAAGAGCTTTTGAAGAAATATCAATGTAATAATGGGAGCCTGTGGTGCAGTGTCACTCCAGAATTTTAGAATTAAATGCATTAATTACTTTTCCCTGTCTAGCTGTAGGGTGGGATTTGCCAAAGTGTTCAGCATTGGTCCCTCTCTGCTCCAATTGTGGTTAATGGGAGTTTTTTTACCTGTGACTTAGTGGGAGCAGAGTTAGGCCAATGCCAAATACTTTTGAAAATCTTTTGTAAATTGGATATTCCATGCAGTATTTATTGTTATGTTAATCACAGAACATTTCACATGTAGCTGTTTCAATATTGACTAAATAGGTTACTAAAATGTGGGTGTTGATGTTAATTGGTGAAGCAGTTTCATTCAGCAAAGATTTCTGAAATTCATCAGCTTTTCAGTGGTGTTTCCTTTGGCTTCATTCTGTTCTTTGTCAGGAATTGTGCTGTAAATACATCTAGAAAATGAAGTCTATGGAAACAGTTTAAAAGGAAGCATGTTCCTGTTTTCAGCTCTATCCTGGCTTCAGTCAGTAAATACTGCTTAACAAGTGCAAATTTTATTTTAAGGACAAAGAAGTGGGCCTGTCCAATAGGTTTGCAGGGCTTTTCACAGCCATTTAGAATATCTAACTTCCATTTTTTGGCCCTTGTCCATTGGTATCAAGAGTTTGGGTGTATTAGGGACATAGCGAGCTCATCTCCTAAGGGCTTGTCTGCAGGCCAGGGTGTGTTAATTAACCTCTTCTAATCATGACCTTTTTCCTAGTGTGTATATATTGCAACACCTTTTAACTTGACAGAGCAGGTCAAGGTGAAGGATAGGCTTTTTACCTGAGTACACCTTCACCTGCTTATTTGAAGTAGAAGGCACTGCAGTTTGTCCAGGGTAGGAAAAAGGTTATGGCTAGACTGAGGTAAGTTAATAAACCAACTGAATCGCAATCCATTTTTCTAATGTAGGTAAGTGCTCAGTAGAAACCTCCTTAAGGTTCACCAAAAAAACCCAACACTTTTTCCTTCCTTGCTAATTACCACTTTTGTCAATCTGCCGATACCCAAACTTAATCCACTTTATTTTTTGTTTTGGCCTTTCTAGCAAGTTGGGGGTAGGGATGAGGGAAAATACCTGACATGGTTACAGTTACAAATTTAAAATAAGCTATTGTTTGTATGCGAGTTGTTGTTTTGGTAGACTTTCATTGAAATGAACCAGAATGGCAAGAACATTCACTCCAGTAGCTTCCTACAATGTGAAGTTCCCCAGAAGACACTTTCACTGCAATTGGAGTTGTCTCCAAAGGAATAGAGAGGCAGTAGTAGAGCATCCATTGCGAAACAATTGTGGACACTTTTCTGTAACCTAGTACCTGCATCTAAGATCAAAAATACTATTTTTTGGGGGGGGGGGAATCCCAAAGCAGGGAGAGGACAACCAACAAAAGCAGAGATATTTTGTTAAATGCTACAGCTGTATTGTATACAAGCATTGCAACACATTTAGTGTCTTCTCTGACAGTCCAAGAACCCTGGGCAATGTTATCTGGTAGTAGAAAACATATATTCATTTAAAAAATGGCATGTGTGTGTGATGAATTGTCACTGTGTGTCGAACTCTTGCATATTTTTGTTAGAACGTACTGTGAAAAAGCGAGGGTGTGTTAAATAGCTCTGTGCTGTGGAGGTGCCTTGTAGCTTTTTGGCTTTGGCAGGCCTAATGTTGAGATGTAATGTGTGTATCCTTAGACGATGTGTTGCCCTAAAGATTGAAGGTGCATTTTAGAAATGTTGCTATATATTGAAGGTCGTCGTTATTGTATTCATATTGCAGGGACTTGAGTCATCTCCTGTTTCTAAAACAATTAATAGCTGTAATAATGGATATATACATTAAAAGTGTTTTTTTGAACACCAACTTTTATGTCTAAAAACACATGGGATTTTTCACCATTCATTGAATTGGTTTGACATTATCAGATAATCACGCTTTATTCTTTTGTGACTCTTGCCGAGGCAGATGGTAATCTGAGGTCATGAATAACAAATGTCATTGCTTACATTTTCTCAGGGAAGAATGGACAAAAGCCATCCAAACAGTAGCAGACAGCCTTAAGAAACAGGAGGAGGAAATGATGGATTTTAGATCTGGTTCCCCTAGTGATAATTCAGGTGCTGAAGAAATGGAAGTTTCTATGACAAAACCAAAACATAAAGTGGTAAGTTAGTATAGCAGGATCAGTATTTTTAAAGGGAACCTTGTTACATGTGCACACCTAGCTGATGCCACAGCTCCAAGCTTTGAGTCCAGCGTCAGCTGTCAGCCAGTAATCCTTTAGATCCTGAATAATTATAAGGGAAGGAGCACTATTAGGTGTATTGAATGCAAGCCAGAGGCAGCCATTAAGACCCGCTTTTCTCTCCTCCCCCTCTGCCCCCCCATAACACTATATTTGTTTCTGAGAGGATCCTACCCTGTAAATTATAGTAAGGCTTTTTTCTATGCCCTTGCCTCTCTTTCTTTCATTTGTTCCCAGAGTGTGCCTGTGTTTTGGGAAAATGAACCAAAACAATGGACAGCAAAAGGATGATGCCTGTCAAATCGCATCATTAATGAACATGCACCATAGGCTTTGATGCTTGGTTATGCTACAAAATTACATTTATACCAACCTGGGCAACTACCCATATGCCACTCTGAACCACGGCTGCCATCAATTTAATATGACCCCTACTAATTGGGCCCTTAGCATCTTGCCGGAGGATTCCAATAGGATGTTGCAGGTGAATTTTAAAAGGACCTCACGAGCTTAGCCAGTGTGCCATGGAGGTGGTGGAGAGTTTCTCAGCTATGGTGAGCTGATTCACTCTGAGCAAGGATCGGTCTGAATGACTGTTTAGATCAGGGGTAGTCAATAGATGGTTCATGGGCTAAATCCAGACTGCCAGACGCATTTGAACGGACCCCGAAATCTTTTTATTTACTACTTCTTATCATTATTGTTGTTGTTTTTGAATGATTTTCTCTGGAGTCTGGATCTTGACTATATCTTGACGAAGACATTTGGACCTTGACAAAGAAAATTGACTACCCCTGTTTAGATCCTGAAACCAATTGTCCCACACAACCAAAAGTACAGTCTTGCTTTTGTTAATGCAGTTCAAAGCGAACTAAAGCAGTCCTAGCAGACCATGCACTGTGGAAGTAGAGTTTGTCATGCTTTCAGCCAGGGAGCAAGCAAGCTGTTAGCAGGAGCATCTCTTAATCCTTTCTAGCAAGGTACTTGTGAGCCCCTGGATACACAGACCTGTCACCCCTTGGCACTGCCCCTTGAAGATGCTGGAATAGGATCCACGAGACCAACCCTTTCCTATTTTCCCTCCACCTTTTCTAATAGAAAAACAAACAAGAAAGAGAAAGATAGTCCGTGTGCAATGTGGTTTCTGCACATTTTCTGGCACTGTTCCATGGGTCACAGCAAGGCTGATCCCCCATAAATATGGGGAAACTAATTCTCATGTCAAAACCTCAGAGCGGGAATCGGACTGACAGATCTTTAGAATGAGATGTGGGTGGCCTTCCCAAGCTTGCTCACTGACACAGGCTGCGTGGCCAAAACACCTATTTTGGCTCTTATCTATTTCACGTGAAGAAATTCTCAGTTAAATAGAGGAGGGTTTTCTTTTAATAAGCAATTCAGTGGGTTTGAAGTGTCATATCCTTGGAAGTGTAACAATCATATTCTTTTTGAAGAACTAGTTTCTGATTTTAACTCTCTAGAAGCAAATCATAAATGGTATACGCATCATTTTAACTGACCAAAACAGTCACTTCCTCCACTTCAGACACTATTTACATGTATTATGAAATTGGTCATGACCTATTTTTAACTTAAATATCTTTAACAGACCATGAATGAGTTTGAATACCTTAAGCTACTGGGAAAAGGCACTTTTGGGAAGGTCATTCTAGTTAAAGAAAAAGCAACTGGACGATATTATGCTATGAAAATCCTGAAGAAGGAAGTTATTGTTGCAAAGGTGAGTAAATTAGAACGTTCTGGGCCCAATTCACCCCTGGTGTAACCCTCTAGTTTCTAGAGAGTGACCTCAGAGTTGTAATTTACCCTGTGTAAGTGACTACTTATTTGTTGTTTTTAATGGAACTCTTGTTCTTTAGCGATTGCATTGATAACTTTCTCTGGGGGGCATTGCAGGATGAAGTAGCTCACACGCTGACAGAAAACCGCGTTTTACAGAATTCTAGGCATCCATTCTTAACAGTAAGTGTTCCTCCTTTTTTATTACATCTGGTAAGCAAATTCAACATTGTGACAGCTACAGCTGTCCTCCTTATTATCATGATGATAAAACAAGTCTCACAGGTCTAGGTTTTTAACAGGAACTAGTGTTTTGGGGTACCTTTATTTTTGGGGTGCACAACTTGCAACGTTTTCAAATATCCTAATTTTCAGAGGGTAGATGTGCAGCGCTTTATGGTGTCTCAGTTTGGGCCCCCAGAATCATTAGTCACTTTTGAAAATATGCCATAGACTGGACACAGAACAGTATATGTTTCTTTACTTTTTATTACGGAATACTGTCAGAGTTGACAAACCCCAAAATCCACAAACTCCACCAGAATGTTATTGATTCAAATGTGCCACCTAGTAATGCGGATTGACATGGTTGTTTGTATATAATTGTATGCTTGCATAAATCAAAATATATCTTCAAAGCAAAGGGCTGCAACTGCCTGGCTTGAAAACCCAGCTGTAAGCCTTGGTCATGACCCTAACAAAATAAATCCAAGGGTGTGGCAAACAAGCTGGTGGGATGTGTGATGCAGGGATGCACATGATACAAGTGGATGAAGGCACTTCATGACATTTCATCACTTTCCCTGCCTGTTCTGTTTTTTGTGAATTGATGGTAAATGCATATTGACAGAATTTCTCAGTCCCCTGGCTGGCTGTCAGCCTGGAGCAGTAGCAGCAGCAGTAGAGAAAGCAGAAGGGACAGAGATATAACCGTCCAATAGTAATATAACCCTTTGACAATTTTTGCAAGTGTTATCCATGTGTGTTTTTCCAGAATTGATCCCTACGTTAGTTAAACTCCCATATCTGACCTATATGTTGTTTCAGTAAAACCACCATGGGATCAGTGTTGAAGTGCTGCTGAAGAACCTATCAGAGCAATTTCTATAAAATATTGCTATATTGTTACAATATAATGTATTTTATCTCTATCCCTGTTTCTAAAACTTCACTGAAAGCACTTTTGTAAACCTTGATGTGGGATCTCTGCTAAGTCTTTGTTTAAATTTGTTTCAGGCTTTAAAGTATTCCTTTCAGACACATGATCGTTTGTGTTTTGTTATGGAGTATGCTAATGGAGGAGAGGTAAGGAAACCACGTTAAAAGGCTTTGGGATTTTCCTGTAGTTTTTTTTATTCAGTTTCATGTTAGGGTTTGCTGGTTTTGAGCCCTCATTAACTTACTCATATACATAGTCCTAACTCACATGAGTAGACCTACATCAGTGGGGCTGTTCGCATGAGTTAGGACTACATACATAAGTAAGGATTTTCAGGGATGAGTCCCTAATTAACAAAAATTACACTAGTATCTTCAAATCTGTCGTTTATCGGTGCAGGAGGTTTGTATGTTGTGATGCTGCTTTCTAGTTTCTCTACACCATTGAAGCTTTTTGTATATAATTTCAAAGAACACAGTACTTTGAGGACAGAGCTGTAAATGAAAACGCATGCTGTTAGACATTTCAGAAGAAGAGAAATCCAATTTATGTCAAATAAGGAATGCTGTTAGACATTTCAGAAGACGAGAAATCCAATTTATGTCAAATAAGGAATCTCCTGCTTTTAAAGTCATGCAATAAAAATCTGGTTTAATAAGTAACTAGCTAAGAAAATGTTTTGATATGTCTTAGTTGTTTATATATACTGACAAAAATTAACAGTACATCAAATTGTCAAATAGAGCAGCTGTGAATTTGAAATATATTATTACACTTATGTTTAATCATTTAATTTATGGTGCAGCTTTTAGAATGTTTCTGAGCATAGCTGTGTCAGGGAGAAAAGGTTCCTTCCTGGATTAATTCTGATTCCAGGCAGGATTGTCTATAAAGTATAGTACATAACTCAGAAGTATGTGCATTCTAAATGTAATAAATTCTTGCTGTTGTAGTTGTTTTTCCATCTGTCAAGAGAGCGTGTCTTTTCTGAAGATCGGGCTCGGTTTTATGGAGCTGAGATTGTATCAGCACTGGATTACCTGCATTCAGAGAAGAATGTGGTTTATAGAGATTTAAAGGTACTTAGAAGACTGTTAATTTCATAGGCTATTAAAAATGGGTTTGGATTTGTAATAGTTCTTAAAGTCACAGAAGCTGATTGATACTGAAATACAATAAACCTATCCACCAAACTTTGTTAAAGAAGAAATATTACAGCTATATTATTGTCGGCTGTGATTATTATAAGATCTCAAACTAAGCACTTGAATACTGTACAAGGTGCTGCAGAAAGTGTACTTTGGGATTGATTCCCTCCAAGTGTATGGAACCTGTGCCTTGGTAGAATATGAAGGGGCACTCTGTTATTGGGGATGCATCTCCACATGGATATGAAATTAAAGAGTTGACCACTTTATTATGAAAAAGACCCTGGTAGTTCTTCAAAGCAATGGAGGGTATTTGTGGTGTCTTGGTCAATTTCCCGCTCTATGTACAAATTCAAACTGTGTGAATATTCTGCTCCCTTGCCCTGTTTTTCACTTGCAGTTAAAACTGGCTAAGTTTTCCCTTGTTTTTCTGTTTGGGAGCAAAAAATGAATCATACAAACTTTTGTGTTCTTTCTCATTAAGAATGATGGCTGCATTCCCTCACCAGAAGTGTATGAGAAGTGCTATTACTATACTTTCAGTCCACAGTTCATTTTAGGAGATATCTAGATGAAAGGTGCTAGGTATATAGGGATGTGGATAAACTGGAGAGAGTTCAGAGAAAAGCCACAAGAATGATTCAAGGTTTAGAAAACATGCCATATAGCAACAGACTCAGGGAGCTCGATCTGGTTAATTTACCAAAGAGAAGGTTAAGGGGTGACTTGATTACAGTCTATAAGTGTCTACACAGTGAACAAATATTTAATAATGGGCTCTTCAATCTAGCAGAGAAAGATATAACAAAATCCAATGGCTGTAAATTGAAGCTAGACAAATCCAGTCTGGAAATAAGATGTAAAATTTTAACACTGAGAGTAATTAACCATTGGAGAACCTTACCAAGGTTCATGGTGGATTCTCCGTCACTGACAATTTTTAAATCAAGATTGGATGTTTTTTTCCTAAAAGATCTGGCTTACAAATTATTTGGGGAAGTTCTATGGCCTGTGTTATATAGGTAGTCAGACTAGATGATCACAATGGTCCCTTTTGGCCTTGGAATCCATGAATATTCAAGCTGTTATGAAATTCAGTAGGAGTTAAGCACCTGTCTCTCTGAGGCTCCTTTGAAAACCCCACCCTATATCATAAGTTCTGTCAGCATATAGAACTTATTTTCATGAACTATGGGTAGTTCCATCAGAAATGGGTAGTGCCAGCATTCTCTCAGTTTTTAGATAATTGCCAAATTTTGAGTAAATTTACAGCATATTTACCATGCACAGTGCGATATTGTAAATTGATCCCTTAGCTTTAAATTGATTAATTGTTTTTGTCACTGCTGCTAGCCTCTGTTAGCACTGAAATGGCCTATGAAAGATGCTCTAAGTAAAAGCAGGGGCAAAGTAGTTTTTGTTGTTTTTAAATTTGTGCTTTTGCTGACTATAACATTTACGTATCAGAGGGGTAGCCGTGTTAGTCTGGATCTGTAAAAGCAGCAGAGAGTCCTGTGGCACCTTATAGACTAACAGACGGATTGGAGCATGAGCTTTTGTGGGTGAATATGAAGTGCATCCAACGAAGTGGGTATTGACCCACAAAAGCTCATGCTCCAATACGTCTGTTAGTCTATAAGTTGCCACAGGACTCTTTGCTGCTATAACATTTAAGAAGCTTAGATGTAGTATGACTATTTTCTATATTCTCATTATATGTATGTCAACTGCCCAATGATCTCAAGTTACTTTTTTGAAGTTATCCCTAAGGTAAATGATGTAAATGTATATTTACATGATACGTGCTTTGGTAGCTAGTATAATTCTTATCCCAGGGTGAACAGGGCTGAAAAGAATAACCTGCAGAAATCCAAGTATCTTACAAACTCACTCGTGTATGGATTATGTATCTAATGACTATTTTACTTTGGATTTTTATCTAAGTTGGAAAATCTTATGCTGGATAAAGATGGACACATAAAAATAACAGACTTTGGGCTATGCAAAGAAGGTATCAAGGATGGAGCAACAATGAAGACTTTCTGTGGCACTCCAGAATATCTTGCACCAGAGGTACCTTTATTACACCTATTGTACCTAACTATATTCTTAAATAAATGCCATTCTTGAGATAGCAGAGTTATTAAAAATTTCCTGTACTAACTACGCTTTATTTGTAAAAATGTGTATATTTTATTTTATGACATAGATAAAAACCTTTTTTATTCCTTGTTCTGCAAAATTTCCTTAGTATAGAGAAATGTTAAATGTTTTCACATAGGTTATTTTCTTTAATCTGTGCACCTTTAAGAGGAGAAGTACAGTTCACTTCCTGGAGTATATAAAAGTTATAATTATATAGCAAGGTGTATTTTTATATTAAATTTTTAAAATTTAATAGCTATAGAAAAATATATTGAATCTACTTCAAATCCTTTAAAAAATTAAATGAGTAATATTTGTGATGGATGTGGAACTGCTCTATATAATAATTTATGAACGCTGTCTGTTGATGTGATTATTGGGATGCTCCCTGTGTGAATATATTGGTCTAATTTAATAGGGGTCTGTAAGAAAGAACAAGCAGGCTGGAGAATAGCATGGCTCAAGACAAGCCACTTCTCAGCAAACACTTGAGAGAGACATTTAGAGACAACTCCAGGACAGGAATAGTCCTGGAAAGCAGAAGGTCAAAAGGACTGTGGCAGGGTTGAAAAGGAAAACTTGAGGAATGCAGGGAGTGGTGGTTAGGAGGAAGTTGGTCCAGGGGAACCAGATTGAGGGATAGGCACCCAAAGGGGGTATCTGAAGAAGTTACCCTCTTAGGTTACCATCAGAGGATGGTAAGGCTTTAGGTAAGATAGACTGATGTTCTAAAATCTGTTCTTTTTCAAGTGATGTCCCTGTGGGTGCTTGTGCGCCCCAGTGCCTCTAGTCGGAGAATTTTGACAGGAGTACCCATTTGGGCTGCACATGCACTCTCCTTGTATTGTGCCTGTAGTGGCAGTTAACTAGCTGCCAACCCTCTGTCAGTGCCGTCTCAACCGCCCTTGGTCCGAGTCAGAGCTTCGGCAGTGCCTCTGTACGACTTACCTTTAAATTTAGGATTAGCTGTATAGTGTAGTAGATTGAATAGCTAGGTAGAATTCCTTTCCTATCCCTTTCCCTTTTCTTTTTTCTCTCTCCATTTAAAAAAAATATTTTTTACTTTGTTTTCATTCATCCCTCTCAGGGATAATTTTACCCGTGAATGCCCGTGTCTCCAGGCTTTAAACGTTGCCTCTCCTGCCGAGAGGCAATTCCAGTCTCGGATGGACATTCCTAGTGTCTCTGCTGCTTGGGGGAACTGCATGTATCTCAGAAGTGCTTTCATTGCCAAAGCAAGGGACCTTAAACTCATCCTCATGGAGAAATCTCTCCACCCAGCCTCCGACCCGGGATCACAAAACTCCCGGTCGCACATCTTGGCTTATGACAGACTTCCCTCACTGACTCTGCAAGGGAAGGACCTGTCTCCCAGAAAAAGGACGAAGAAGAGAGCTACCACTTCTCTTATGAAAGGAGTCTTGAAAAAGAAGTGTTCTCCAACTCTCCATATTGTCAGTACGAATCACGCCATGGCTAAGTACCTACAAGTCAGCAGGATCTTCCAATAACACTAAAACCAAAGACCCTAAGCGGGCAGGCTCTCAGAAGGATGGCAGAGACAAGACTACCCCTTCTACCATGACACCGACTGCAGCAACCAAACACTCGGTACTGAGCACCGCTGCAGTGCCTCAGCTTATGGCGCCATCTCCTGGCCATCTGGCACATAGTGCAGAGACCGCGGTACCAAAGTCTACTTTACGTCCTTCGGTACAGACACGATCAGCACCAATTCTCCTGGTGGCGCAACACCTCCTGGTACCACAACAATTCCCGGCACTGCAACAATTACAGATTCCATCTTTGGTACGGAGATCTCTTGGAACGCAACAGTTTTTTCAACATAAGGACTTAGTGGTTGCTGCGGCACCAGAATCAACTCTTCTCGGTACTGATATAGCACCAGCACATTCAGCACCGTTACACAGACAAACAAACAGATCTGCTTCTCCTTTTTCCAGGGAGAAGGAGGACGACGAGGAGGGAGATGTTTATTCCTCACACCACTCTTCACCCATCCAGGGAATTGACAGACCAGATCTTTAGGAACAGCCAGGACACCGCTCCAGAGCTGGCACCCAGGGGTGGTATTGACATCTATGGATGCCACCACCAGTGTCATTCCTGCCACAGTGGCCATATTGGGATCCATAGACAACATTACTACAAGCCTCCCAGTACCTCCAGGGAAAGGCAGAGACACTCCCCATCAGCGTCACGGGAGGGGCCCCCATGAGCTCCCTGAGGAGACTTGAGGAAACAGAGGAGGCCCTAGATTAGGAGGCCACTTCTGCAACTAACACCTCCTGCTCCTCTCCAGATGAGACTATCATGCCTCTGCTACCTACAACTGAGATGATATAAAGCAATTTCAGGGGCTGTTTAAAAGAATTGCAAACACGCTTAAAATCCCCCTGGAAGAGGTTGCTGTGTCCCAGTACAAGTTGATGGACATATTACACACGTCAGCCTCCTGCAAAATAGCCCTTCCTATAATGAGGCACGCATGGATTCTGCCAAGACCAGCTGCCAGACACCCACAATAATCCCCCCTACTAGTAAGAGGGCGGATAAGAAGTGTTGCGTCCCATTGAAGGACCTAGAATTCTATTTTCACATCCCCAGCCAAATTCATAGAAGCTGTCAACGAGCAGGGCAGACAACACTATTTGAGGACCACCCCATATGACAGAGTGGAAAAGATTGCATCTTTTTGGTCGCCAGGCCTATTCATCAGCAACATTGTAGTTCAGAATAGCCAACTATGAAGCCTTGATGGCGAAATACAATCACACAAAATACTCCAAACTGTTTGAATGTATTGACTTTATCCCTGAAGACAAAAAGGAGCAATTTAGGTCAGTCATTTCTGAAGGCCATCTCCTGGCAAGAACAGATCTGCAGGCATCCTTAGACTCAGCAAACACAGTGGCAAGTTCTATTGCAACTGCCGTAGTAATGCAATGTGCCTCTTGGTTCCTCCTGTCTGGATTCCCAAAGGAGGTGCAATTCACCAGAGAGGATCTTCCCTTTGAAGGTCCAAAATTATTTGCAGGTAAGACCAACAAGTCCTTCCATGCATTGAAAGATTCTAAAGCAACTCTTTGGTCTTTAGGCATCTACACGCCTGCACAAAAATGAAAACAGGGCATATATTACCCATCACAACACTCAAGACCAGTGCCTTACACACAACCGCAGAGGCAGTATGACGCCCAGAGGCGGAGGCAAAGACCCACAAGATGTAGGCCACTCCCATCTCAATCTCCTACATCGCAACAACCTGGACCGAAACATCAAATTTGATGGTTTGGTTGATGGTCCCAGAGACCTCCCCCAATTCCAGTTGCTGAAACCTCTTTCTACCAACCATCACTTTACAGACCATTTGACACCATTCTGCCCAGCATGGCAAATTATTACTTCAGATAAATGGGTGCTGGAAATTATCACCACCAGTTAGTCCATCCAGTTCACCTCCATTCCCCCCACCTACCCTCACGAGCACCTTCTGAGGCAGGAAGTAGACCATCTTCTGCACTTGGGTGCAGTAGAACCAGTATCGGTACAACACAGAGGGAAGGGCCTTTATTCCCATTATTTCTTAACCTAGAAAAAGACCGGGGGTTGGAGGCCCATTCTTGATCTGAGAAACGTAAACAAATTTGTCAAAACACATTTATCAGGATGATTACTTTAGCAACAGTAATCCCATGAGGGGACTGGTTTTCGGCCCTTGATCTGCAAGACTCATACTTTCATGTCGCCAGACATCCATCACACAGGTGGTTCCTCCAGTTTGTTTTGGGACAAGATCACTATCAGTACAAGGTACTGCTCTTTGGCCTCTCCACAGCCCCTCGAGTTTTTTCCAGAGTTCTAGCAGTGGCCCATCTATGCAATCAAGGGGTCATGATTATACCCATATTTAGATGACTGTCTGCTCAAAGCCCCCACTTGGGAAGAAGCCATACAAAAGACAACGTCACTCTTTACAAAACTCGGTCTCCAAATAAACATTCAAAAGTCAACAGTGACACCAGTACAAGAACTATAATTTCATTGGGGCTCATTAGAACTTGTTAGCGGCGAAAGCTTCCCTACTGTCACACAGATTTGTCACTCTAGTGTATCTGATGAACGCTACAGTGAAGAGTCCACAAACATCTTCCAGGACTTGCCTCCAACTACTGGGCCACCAGGCCTCTGTTTGAACCCTAGGCTGCATGTTCACTATTACACCTTTCAATGAAAGTAGCCTTCTTTGTCACCATCACATCCACAAGACGCATAGGAGAATTTTCAAGAACAAGGTCACTCTAAGATTGCATCCTAAATTTCTACCTAGTGTACCCTCTGTGTTCCACCTCAACTAACCTATCAATCTTCCTGCATTCTTCCCTAAGCTTCAGAAGAACAGGCAAGAAGCAGCACTTCATTCTCTAGATGTCAGAAGGGCATGAGCCTTTTATCTCAAAAGGACTAAACCATTCAGGTAGGCACCAAAACGGTTTCTGTCGACTACACAGAGATCTAAAGGAGAAGCTATATCTAAGGAGAGACTCTCCAAATGGATTGCAGAGTGCATTCATCTCTGCTACAGCCAAGACAAACTGCAACCCCCACCAGGGGTTAGAACGCATTCTATCAGGTCGCTCTCCACGTCGGTAGCCTTCCTTAATGCTGTGCCTATTACGGACATATGTAAAGCAGCCACTTGGTCCTCAGCCCACACATTCATTCAGCACTACACAATCAAGCAAAATTTGAAATCTGACACTTTATTAGGACTCACGGTCCTATCATCGATCACAGATCCAACTCTGAAGCCCCTCCCTTCCACTGAGGGGCACTGCTCTACAGTCACCTGAAGTGGAACATCCATAAGGACAGCACTCGAAGAAGAAGCGAGGGTTGCTCACCACATGCAGTAACTGAGGTTCTTCTAGATGTATGTCTCTGTGGGTGCTCCACTACCCATCTTCCTCCCCTCTACTTTGGAGTTTTTGCAAGGTCCTCTGCAGTTGAGAAGGAACTGCGGTGGGGGTTGGCCACCTAGTGCTAGTTAACCGCCGCTACAGGTGCGAGACTGAGAGAGCCCATGTGCAGCCCAACCGGGTACTACTGTCAAAGCTCTCTGACTAGAGGCACGGGGCGCCCAGTCACCTGAAGTGGAGCACCCACAGGGGGACACATCTTGAAGAACCTCAGTTACTGCACAAGGTGAGTGACCCTCTCTTTTGCTCTAAATGCTTTATTCCTTCTGCAAAGTAAACCATCCTTTAGGAAAGCTGTTTTGTCACTGTATAACACTGGTCAGAGACTCCCAAAGGGAAGAACTGCAGGTTGTCAGAGCTCACTCAGGCTTGCTGGGTACTCATGATTGATACACAGGGTTGATGGTCTAAGGCCCAGTCTAATTAGAGGTAGAACAGCGGAATTCGGGCCTGGGATTGGTAAAGGCACAAGGTCTGACACCTGAGGGACTACACTCAGAGAGACTAGGTAGGGGACAGAGGTGCAGCTAGCCCGTACCATTATAGAACCATATATATATATTCCCCAAGGTAAATAGCGTACTATCCTTTTCTGGAAGGAACAATACAGACAGACAATCTGTGTTCAAAATTCTTCATTTCTTTGTACTAAAGAAATTTTGCAGAACATAATTAGCAGAAATGTTGACATGACTTTCCTCTTTAAAAATTTTTAAACATTTCCCCTGAACTGTTTGCAATCTAGACAGTGGAGCACTGTGCTAGGGAACAACAGCATGAAAATGAAACCATGGCTCCATTTCACTCTTTGTTCAAGTTAGGTGAAATGCACAAAGTAAACAGTCTTTCAGTTACAGCAGCCTAAGGCACAAGTACAGAAATTGATTATGTGGAAAACATTGGGAAACATTACTTCTGTTTTTGTTTTGTTCCACTGATGGCTCTTGACCTTTCTGGAGGCTTCTGTTTATACTCTCCTCCTACACAGCAGTGGCAGGGCAGGCAGCTGTGTTCATTTTTTCCAGCCCTTTGTACGGGCATCCAGCCGTTCCATTGAAATGAAGAACCTAGGCATCTGTCAAAGTAGCTTGAAGCAAGGAGATGGAGGCAGCCTCATGATACCTGCCAGCTCTCATGGACAACCAGAAGCTCCTTGTGAATCATCAATGGTCCATAGTTTGAGAACCACTGACAAAGAGTTATCAGTAAACAGCTAAGGCAGTTTGTTGTTTACAAATATGGCTTTAAATCTGCCATTGTCCCTTTTAAAAACAATGTTAAACTTTAGTCTCTGATTATAACTGCGGATTTTGTGGGCCAGTGAAAGACTGGGCAAATCTCATTGGAGATTATTTAACTTTTTAAAAAATTTTCTGATGCGGAATGTGTGTGAAGCAGCCATGGAATGTCTCTATATGGATTACCCTTCAATCATTTTACCTCTAATATTTTCCTTTAATATTTATAATGATCTGGCTTAACCGTAACATAGAAGGACAAATCCTTTTGACTAACCTAGCTCACTCCCTTCATTGCAAATCCCAGCTGTGGGTTGGAGTGTTAAATTCTGAAGGCTTTTGTCATCTGGCTGATAGCATGCAGAAAATCTGGAAATGGTGCGTGAATGAGTATTTTGTATGTTTAAGGTCATGTATCCTTAAAAGTAGGGGTCTCTTCTTCTCCTCTCTGTTTGTAACTTGAATCCAGTATAAGAGTGTGTTTATACAGTTGTTGGATAGTTGTTTTTAGGTTCGTATTGGAATCTTGTGCATGGATGGCAGTGACTGAATTGCATCAGCTTTGATGTGTCAGATATATTGATGACTATCCTGTTTACAGCTGTTGTGTCTTCTCTTGTAAATTCCATCACACAGCTGCCAAGAACTGTTATGAACTGACCATCTACTTAATTTAAGTTAAATGACCTTGTTACCTATTGCTTCCCAGTTACCATGCACATTGCAATAAATCTTGGGGATATAAATACCTTTCATGCTACTTGTATATTATTTTTTCTCTTCTCAGTTGTGAACATATTTAAAGTAAGACTAAATCATTGTCCTGTTTTGTATAAACATTAGTATAATGTGGTGTTTGTGAGAAGGATTTTTTACTTTTAAAAATAAGGATTGGTTCTTGTTCTGTGCTGTATGGAGGTAAGAAATTGAGGGTTCTGGTTAGTAATCTGAATGATAACTAGTGTTCTTTTAGTATCTTGGCCAAATTATCATTGTTGCGTTTTAGAAGGCCTGATTTTGTAGGGCTTGATCTTGGCTTAAAAAAAAATTATTCCTATTGTGTATCTAGCAGCAATGTGTCTACTTTATTTTAAGTAACCTAAGTGGTTTAGAATTAACAGGAAGTGCTTAGTGAAAGGGCGTGGCTCAGAAATATGGCTAACTGCATTATCGCACAATATCTCCTATGAAGTTAGAGCCTCATAAAGGATGAGGCTGGCTCCTGGAATCCTGGCAGACAAGCAGCTGTGTTGGTCTTATACATATATGGGGCAGCTGTAGAACCAGCTGTCGTTTGGTGTGAATCATACAGCAAGAGATGCTGTAAATAGACCTGTGCGGGGTAATCTAATACCTGACAGCCTTTGGATTTTACTGCAGGACTTCTTTCTGGTTCAGATAATTTTTAAGGCAGAGTACTAAATAATTAGTGACTATATATAGAGAGAGAACACAAACAATTTTTTACAAAGAAAATCTTGATCTTTCTATTTATCCACAGGATCTTAATAATTAATTCATAAAGCGCCAGATCCTGCTCCCATGGAAGTTAGTCTGTTGGCTCTTTGGTCCTGATTCCCAATGAAGACTTTTATTTCTGAGCATAAATGGTTCGGAAGTGCAGTTCTGTAAACTGGGTAGGCACTGACACTGCACGGCACTAAAGAATGAACAAACAGTGCTTTTACTTCGTACCAGTGATAAGCAGTAAAGTGCAGAACTGTAAGGAGAGTAAAGCTATCAAATATCATGTAACCCAACCCAAACCTGGGGATACAATTAAGTAAAAGAAAATTGTAATAGTAGATTTTCTCCACTGTGAGAGAGAAACAGGTCTTTTTTTCTGAACATCTGTGAGGGGATAGTAAAGAGGCTGCAAATTGAAAAGATTTAGGTCCAGATTTTCAAAAGCACATGGCTCCCATTTAGGGCAACATAAAGGCCAGAAGTGCAAAAGAGAACTGAGCTATTTTGAATCTTTGACCCTTACAGTTTAATTCAGATCAGCAATTCTTCTAAAACTTGCAAGCAAACTTTCATGGGTTACAGCATAGCTTTTCTGGTGAGAATAAAGAAAATGTACAAGTTGACATGGAGAGGGAACAGAGATGATTGTAGCTTTGGAGCAACAGGTTAATCAGTCCTCTCCTGCCCCCCAAATGGCATCCTGTTTTTAAAATGGGGCCCCATTTGGAATGGTTTCTAATGAATAAGTTAGGATTTAACAGCTGGCTTTGTAATCTGAGAACAGACTTGGGTTCTCAGCCTCTAGGCATTAGAAGGTTATGCATATCATGGAAGTAATGTGGGAGGGGGAGTGCCATCTCTCTCTAGCCTTCTTTCCCTCTTGCTTGCCTAGAGCGTTCCCTGTTGATAAATCATTGGTGTGCATTAGTGTCCATTGACTGCAACGGGACCTGTTCTCTCAGCTGCAGCAAGTATGCTCTGCCTGCAGAGTTGTGAAATGCATGAAAATGAATATAATAGTATAAGTCCTGTCACTTGAATTCCCTGCATGTGCACAGCATAGGAATACGTACTAAAGCTGTCCTCTACGTTTCTGCAGGTGCTGGAAGATAATGACTATGGTCGTGCAGTGGACTGGTGGGGCTTAGGAGTCGTAATGTATGAAATGATGTGTGGCCGGCTCCCTTTCTACAATCAGGACCATGAGAAGCTCTTTGAACTTATCCTCATGGAGGAGATTAGGTTTCCACGCACTTTGTCACCTGAAGCAAAATCTCTTCTGTCAGGTTTGCTGAAGAAGGATCCTAAGCAAAGGTGAGACCATTTTTTAAAAATCAAACATTTTAATTTCTTTGGTTTTCTGATGATAGCTGTGGTTGCATTTCTTCTTTGGGTCCACCACATCAAAACAAACACAGGGGCACAATCAGCTGAGGTACTAAACCAGAAAGAACACACATGCCTGTCCAGTTGATTTCAGAAAATGAGTTAAAAATAGTTTCTCTCCAATGTTGCTGTTGGAAAGACCCACGCAATCAAATCAAATTGTGCATTCAACCACACTTTGTATATCGTCATTTTCACTAAGGGCTAGTCTACACTGGCAACGTTAAAGTGCTGTCGTGGCAGAGCACTGGGGGAGAGCTCTCCCAGCGCTCTAAAAAACCCACCTCCATGAGGGGCATAGCTACCAGCACTGGTGCACTGTCTACACTGGCTCTTTGAAGCGCTGAAATTTGCTGCACTCAGTGGGGTGTTTTTTCACACTCCTGAGCAAGAAAAGTTGCAGCGCTGTAAAGTGCCAGTGTAGACAAGCCCTAAGTACACAAACGAAAAGGGAAAAGATGTTTTCCCCTCTAATTTCTTTCAGTGTTTGAGATAAAAGTGTGATTTTATTTTTTATTTTTTTTAATGACAGTGTCCCTTTAAACATTGCAGATTTATCAGGAACTAATAGTAGTTGAAAGATCCAACAAACTGGTTTCTTTATTGTTTTAAATGTGGATACAGACTGGGTACTCCAAATGGAAACAGGAAGCAAATGCAGTAACAGAGAAGCAGAATTGCAAAATACCCTGGCTGCCATTGTATTGTACAGAAGGCTATAACCCAAACAAACCACATAACCCATTCTAGATCACCGTGAACATGACTTTTGCATGCTCTACAGTGACCGCTTTCACATCTACAATTTTATTTTCTGTTTCTTAGTTCCATGTTGAATCAGTGGGCTGTTAGCAGCGCTGCTCCGCAACTTAGTGGGTAGATGGTGTTATCTGTGCTGTGTAGTTGGCCCTCTTTCTCTGCTCCCTTCTTGTTGGTTTTTTAATGATAACCACAAGTGAAAGACTTCATACACAACATGCAGTATAATAACGCAGGATTACAAAGGACATTTGACCTTCCCACAGTGACCTAGCACTGCTTACAACCAATTTCACCATTGCCAATCCCACACATACAAAAATAACATGTCTGTCCCCAGAAAACTGAGATTGACCCTGAAATTGAGACTTACATTTTTTTTAAGGCGTGGTTTTTTTGGTCTGTCCTTTGACTTTTTGAACTTCCCATTCCCAGACTCCTGTGTGCATGTGACAGTCTTGCCAAGTCTCACAATTGTATAGCAAGGTGACTGGCCCCCCCTGCAGGAGTTTTAGCTGGAGGACCCCACTTAGTTCGGGACCCCACTGTGGTAGGTACAAACACTTAGTAAGAACCAGGCCCTGCAAGGGATCAATCTAGTTCAAAGTATAATGGTGATATTAGGAACTAGAACTGGGACTTGCCATACTCATGCAGGGGCTACCAAACATCTATCAGATGGGAACAATTTTTAATCCCTTCTGAGCTGGGTAGGATCAAACCGGTAACCTACAAATGAGAGGTTCTATAGTTTATTAGCAATACCCTGAGGAATCCAATCTCTATTAAATACTAACTTGCACCTGTGAGAATGAGGCTGCTTTCCAGAAAAGTTTGCATCTTAGATCAAGTTCTTACCTTTCTGTAGCTTATGCAGGCAGCCTCTTCCAATCTCTGGAAACACAGGCAAAATCTCCTTCAAGCTTCTCTGTCTGCCACACCCCTTTAACGGAGCAGCTCCTCTTAACCAAAATACAAACAATAAAATAAATATTAACACACCATTCAATTCACTTCTAGATGCAGTGTTTTGCAGTATAAAATAGTTCCAATTATTACTCCAAGGTTCTGATGCTAACTTTACGGTTGTATATGTTTTCACTTCCACACGAATCATCATCAGCAGGGTTTGAATGTCCAACCTTCTGATCCATAGAACAGTGGTTCTCAATTTTTTTTTCCATGTACCACTTGAAAATTGCTGAGGGTCTCGGCGGACCACTTAATGATCTTTCCAAATGTTGTTTGTACCGTTAGCTTTGGTAAAGCGCTTTGGATAAAAGCACTATATAAAAAAAACGTATATAATAATTAACCTTTTTTTTTGTTCTACAAATAAAAGCATACAACTCCTATTTTAATATCAGCGGTCTTACCTTTCTAAAGCGATGGATGTGCCTTCTCTCCCCTGCCACAGCAGCCCCTGAGCTGGGGCTGGGAAGGTGGGGGGGTCTCTCCCCAGCAGCTCCAACCCTGGAGCTGGGGAAATTCACCTCTTTCTCTGGCCGCCACAGCCTTGCACATCCCAAATTCCCCCCCACCCCCTCTTTCACCCCACTGCCCCCTCCCACCTACCCCTTATTCCCCCCAAGGCTACCACCTCACCTTACATGTGCATCTTCTCCAGGGTCCAGATACCTAATAAGTGGAGCCACGCCTGCGCGGCTTCACTAATTAGGTGGGTGGCCCTTCATTTTCTTGTGTGCGGCCACCCAGGTGTGCACCTTTAGAAGGAACTAACCGCGGACCACAGTTTGAGAACCTCTGCCATAGAACATAGATATCTTCAGTGTCAGCTATAGGAATAAGCGGGGAGGCAGAAAGGATGCTGTTGTTCTCTGTGGACTAGCCTATACTAGGAGCATGACATGCACACTGCTAGTTACTTTACACAATATACATGACATAAATATTTGAGAGACAGCTGTGGAACGATGGCCGTCAGAATTCTTGGTTTCTCTGCCCAGCTCTGGGATCAGACTGTGGCCTAGTGCTTACAGACAGAATAGGCAGATGTAACAATGACTCTGTTTGGGTCATCTGAAGGGAACTGAACCTGGGACCTGTGGATGAAGTATGGCCCTATATTATTTGAGCAAAGGAGCCATGTCTCTTAGTATCAAAGCAGTATCACGTCGTACATTCCTATATGTGGTCCAGCTCCTAGAGGGTGACACAGGATCATGCAATATTAGTGTAGGTTACAGAAGAATGTAATTTGCCGTGTTCCTCCTGAAAGACTTGTGTGGAAAAGTGGCTGAGATTTGGGTCTCTGAGACCTGGTGTCACAGCCCTGGTCAAACAACCCTTTGTTGAGCACTCACCAGGCTGGTGTGTTTGGACCCACACATTGGGCCTGTGTACTTTCAAGCTTCCTTGAGTCACAGTAGGCTTCCGCCATTATGTCTGGCTCTTGCCTCTGGAATGCTTCCTGGTCCCAGACTCTGTCAGGTATCCTTTTTTAGAAGTGGAACCCCACAGCTGAACCCTCCAGATCTCCCAGTGGCTTAAGCAAAGCCTTACTCCTCTTATGCGCACACTGGTTTATAGTTTATCCCTTCAGGGACATGTGGCAGCAAAGCCAGTAGACACAGACTTTGGAGAAGGATATCTAAAACAATTTACTTTAGACTGCACAAGAGAGATGCAGATCCCTGAAAAATAATAAACACCAGTATGCCATTTCCTGCTTCACTATCCTCACTGCTCTTGAGCATTCTTTGGGATGTGGTCAGAGTCTTCAAAGGAGTCCAGGATCCTTCCTCTCCCTTTCTCCTCCAGAACATAGTCTTCTTTCAGATCCCTGAAGCCACCATCCTTCAGCTCAGCCAATCCAGCAGTGAAAAAGGTTCCATGTCTCTCAAAAAAAAAGTCTTTGTTCCTCTCTCTCAAATTTCTCAGCCTCTGGGGTTTTAAATGTTAGCAGTAAGACCTTGGCTCCTTCGTTCCCCTTTTGGGGATTTTCTTCCAC